CCTCACCCTACTTATATCTGCCACTGGCCAGAGATTCTGGCCGTCCTCCTATCCACCACCCGGAGACGCGCCCGGTAGGCTCTCAACCCTCGGGAATAAAGAACTAACATACCTGTGTGAAATTGTAGATTCGATAACTCAAGTCCTTAATTATTAATTTAAACTAGGTTAAGCCAAAATAACTGAAGTGGTCTCAGAAGTTGTAGGATCTATGTGTAAATCATTATTTAAGTTACGACTTGCTATACAATTTATATCTTCTATGTCATGATCTATAATAAATGGTTCCTTGTCAATTTTAGATACTTCCTAAACATGACAGCTGAGTTCATGACTACAATTTGCTCTTGCATTAGTTTCAGTTAGTTGAGTTAGTGTAACAACACTTTTTAATATCTTAACTTTCTGTCGTTTTGAAAGCTAATAAAAAAACTTCCGTTCTCTAGGCAATTTTCCTGACGAGGTACATAAGTGAACTTGCTAACGAAATAAGCCGTATAGAAAATATAGACAAGTCTTTTAAGGTAGTTCACTCGTAAAACGGCTTTTCTTAAGAATTCAATAACAGTTAAATATAAGGTTTATGAAAGTGTCGTTTACGTAACTAAAAAAAATTAGATTTTTTGACCATCTGTGAAACGAGATATTAACAATCAAAATGTGCATAATTAACACTCTTGAAGCCTATCATATACACAAGCAATGTATTTATTTCAATATATCTCGAAAACGGTTCTTACCATATTTTTTAAAAACTAATGTTAAATAAATCAAGAAGTTATCAAATTTTATAGATAATCGCTGAATTTTTTGACTATCTTAGTAAAAAGATATAGATTTTTAAAATAAAAATATTTTTAAAGCAGTTGACGAGTAGTTTCGTAAAATTATTACAACTTGGCAACATTGTAGCCACTTCACGTATCAAAGTAACACTCGATCAGCTAAGAGGTTGTTATAAATTCGCGACGTGTTCTTGAAAAATTAATTCGTCCACTGTGTTTGAGAACTAAAATCAGCGGTTCTGTTTGAACCATTACAAACCCTTAAAATTAGTATGAGGAAGTCACAAATTTCTATACCATATCGTTTAAATATTTGCGAGTTTGCCGGATGAAATTGAATAAAATTATAACTTGTCCATATGTGTTTATATACATGTGTTTTGTACAGTCTCTTACAAAAAAAAAAATTTATTAGCATTGAGGATCTTAAACTTTTGGTATTCACCATTACGCGATATTTTTATGTACGACTGTCGCGAGTGAACTACCTTAAAGGCTGTCTTGGATGCAAACAAAACAAAGGTTAGGTTCACAAAACACTCACTAGGTTAGGTTTTCAATAAGTTTGGTTATCTCTTCGATACATACCTACCATAAAATTATAGGTACATATATTTGAAACCTGTATATGTTACGTATATGTGTCAAAAAGTGTTTGACATAAGTTTTACTGAGCTTTATTTGATATATTTCGGAAATACGTCTAACATATATATCTTTCCATTTTCGAAAGTTAAATGACATATAATAGAAACCTTTATGATACGTTACGTATATGTATCAAAAAGGGTTTTACTGAGCTCCCTATGATATGTTTCAGAAATACATCTCTTTATGTTTCAATGAAAGTTAAATGATACACTTTAGAAACATTTATGATACGTTATGCGTATGCATCAAGGAGGGTTTTACTGAACTTTCCATATTGCGTTTCAGATACACATCTAACATATATCTAATAATGTTTCAATAAAAGTTCAATCAAGCTTTCAGTGTTATCCCAGACAGCACAAGTACGTTCATAGAATATTCTTGAAGAATGTTTAAATATTCTCAGAATATTCTAGCAACATGCTACAAACATTCTTGGAATGTTCTAAAAACATTTAGCAGAATACTTTGGTACATTCTATAAACATTTTTAGAATATTCTACAAACTTTCAATATTATTCTACAGAATAGAAGAATATTCTATGAATGATTTCAGAACATTAAATTAATATTTTTAGAGTAGTATAGGAATATTTTTAGAATATTATAGGAATATTTTTAGAATATTTTTAGAATATTTTTGGAATATTTTTAGAATATATAAATATCTTTAGAATATTATATGAATTTCTTTAGAACATTATATAAATATCTTTGAAATATAAAAAAAATATTTGAAAATAAGGTTTAATGTTTCATATATACTTCTTTTTAAACTATGTATAAAAATCATTAAATATTTTTCAAAAAAACAAAAAAATCACAAAGATTTTGTTCTGGCGACCTTAGTGGTTATGCAAGGAATTAAATTACAGATATTTTACCGAATAAATAGATCAGTTGCAGAGCCAGTGAGGTCTACAGACCTAAATCCTTGAAATTTTTTACTTGTTTAAATGATTTCTATATACAGTAAAAACAGAAAACTCCACTTATGTATTGCAGTAGTGTTTTTGGTTTCTACTGAAATAACTGCAATTATTTTTTGCAACAATTATTTGATTATCCAAAAAATTGTGTTCATAAATAAAAACCAAACTAAAATTTGAATAAGTGTTTATTTAAAATTATTAAATAATATTTATTTTTTTGTTTCACTTTTTAATCTTTCTGTGGCTTTTACAGGCCATTGCTTGACAGCATTTTCTATATCATCATTAGTACATGCACTATTTTTATTAACCTTTCGTACAGCACCTAAAACAAAAATTAATGAATACCTTATAAAATTTCGGTTAAAAAAATATTTACCTATTATTACATCGGCTATTTTTAAAATTGAAAAATTTTTCTTTTGTTTGAAGCAAATCCAACTATATTTAGTTGCCAACTCATTGGCTGTTATTTTGGCCATTACCCTTTTTACCATTAACTTGTAATTAGAGCCACCAACAACCGCAAGTTCTTTGACTATAAGAGTCTCAGTTACCAAAAAACTGAATATCTTCATTAATATGGATTAATCCATGAACATTATGTGATATATAATGTTGTCCACAGATATCACCAAAATTCTGCACAAAATATTCCAAAAGCATATGTGCAAATCTGTGAATCTGATTTAAATTATTATAAACAAAAATTCTTATGGCAATATGTAAACACAAAAAATTTAAATATTTTTCCTCAGACAAAAAATTTTTCAAAACAACTGGACCTGAATATAAAAGAAAAAATCTAAATTTAGTGGCTTTCCATCTTTTAACCTCATCTAAAAATCGTGGTTTTCTAGCAAATTCAGAAGGCGTGTAATTTTTAAATGATTCATGTAGTTGTGAAATATTTTTAATTATATCTGGTTTCAATTTATTAGGTGGTTTGCCATACACCCACAATGATACAAATAGTTTTTTCATAACACCCAAACAAACTAAATGCATATAATCTAACGGCACATTAACAATTAAATCAAACTTTGGAATTTTCTCTAATACTGATGTGCCGGTATGATGTTTTTTTTTTTGTTTTTTGTCCCTAAAATGTTTATCAGTTCTTTTTCCAGAATCAATCAATGGAAAACACATTCTTCCTTTTCTGTAATTTCCTTTTTGTAAACACTTTGAACAAGAATAAAAGCCTGTATGTCCCTTGGTATATGTTACGAAGGATTTTGCGTGGACATCACAAATTATTCCTTTAATGTTAAATGCAATATATTTGCCATTATTCAAATATCCATTGTTAGTTATTTCAATAACATCTTTTATAAAATCTTTCAGAAAATCATTAGCACAGGCAGGTTTTTCATTTCCATGATATATCCCAACAGCAGCTACTTTATGCGGAAATACATCTAATGCACACAATATGGGGTATATTTGACTACCTGGAGCTTTTACTAATTGGTAATCCATCTATATTGACCAGCAACTGAATTTTAGTTAGGTTTAATTGACCTACACACAACAGGTCAAGAGTCTTTAGTAGACCAATATGCGAGTATAATCCAGGTTTAACTGTCCTAACTGTATGTGATCGAGGTGTTGAAAATATACTTCTAGAATCAGAAGGTAAGTCTAAATCAACCGGAATTGTAGTTTTTATCAAATGCAGTAATCCATTACCGATATATTTTTAACGTGTGTTGATGTGTTTGATGTGTTGTCCAAGAAATCTTGTAAATTCAGTGGATAAAAGTGCCGCAATAAAGTTGAAACGTATACCATTAAAAAGACAAAATCATCCCTCATAAAGTGAGTACTTAGTTACAAAGATTAATTTAAAAATAAGTTAGAAAACCATCAAAATATGAATGCATAAACTAGTAACAATATATTTTTTATCTCGATATAAAAGATAAAGGCTAATTGCTTTTACACAAAAACAGAAATCCGATAAATACGGTACACCATAAATAAATAGTCAGGTAGCTGAACTTAAAATATGAATCTTTCGAATGAAGATCTTTTACACAAATTGGAAGCGATTATTAACGAAAAAACTGCAGAAATAAAAACAGAAGTTAAATATATAAAAGAAACCCTCAATCAAGAAGTTCAAAATTTGAGAAGTAGATGCCAAAATTTAGAGAAAAAAATAACGTATATTGAAAGAGCCAATAAAAAAAATAATATAGTTATATTTGGGATCCAGGCAAATCGCGAAAATCTACTAAGCGAAACCCTTAGAAAATTAAATGAAATCTTTAATTTAAATCTAACGGAGGCAGATATAAATAACATATTTTTCATAGGGAAGAAAAACACCGTCATCCTAGAATTTGTGTCCTTCTTAAAAAAACAAAAAATCTTTCAAAATATAAAACAAATTAGAGGAACAGGTATATCTATATCAAACGACCAAAGTCCGGAAGATCAACATATTACAAAAACGTTAGTTAAACATCTTAGACTAGCAAAGGCAAACAATTCACAAGCTTATATTAGGAATTACAAACTTTACGTAGAAGAGGTACCATATACATTCGAACAACTAGAAGGCGAGACGATTGACCGAAACGTGGAATCCGAGTTCGAAGTGGAACTTCCCCAAAAATATAACAGTGCCCCGCCTACTCCAACAACAAATGCTAACAATTTAGAAGAAGAAGAAGAAGAAGAAGAACAAGTTTTCACTAAGAAAAACGGAGAGCCAAAAAAAAATATTGTAGAAAAAAAAAAGGTTGACACCAAACCGGATAGGATTGCTCCTTGTACACCGAAGAATTCAGGAAACAAAACAGCTAGCCCTAATCAAAAATTTAAGGAAACTCGCCTTACTAGGAATAAGAATCCCTTGAAGTCAAACCCTTAAAGTTTGTTAATCTAGATTTACTAACTGAGAAGGATAGACCAATACTTGAAGCCCAGGTGCTAAAACTTGTTTACGTGTCTCTCGGTGACTTGCAGTAAGTTAGCTCATAGACTAATGATACAGTGAATTAACTTTATTTCTATTTTTATTCTGTGTAATTACGCTACAACGTTACATTTTTTTTTTTTTTATATATGTTACATATGCTTACTTATCATTAACTATTCTTATAAGTTAATATTACTTTCTTACTTAATTTCTGTATTTGTAGCTAATAACTGTATATTTAGTAGCAATCATTCATAAAAATGGATCCTTACATTAGGGACGTGAATCGTGAACCTTTCAATACAATAAAATTAAATTCACCAAATGATGTTAATAATCTCTATAATAATTTAAACGGTCAAACATTTAACATTTTCCACCAAAATATATGCAGTATAAATAAAAATTTGGATAAATTGAAAATATTTTTACACCAACTTTCATTTTCTTACGATTGCATAGTTTTAAGTGAAACGTTTAATGTGCACGACTATAATTTATTTCAGCTGGAAAATTATGATTTATTATATAGCGAAGGTAATATAAACAAAAATGATGGAGTTATAGTTTTTATTAAGAATAAATTTAATTATTCATATAATGTAATATCTATAGGAATGTGTCGTGCCATACAAATAATATTAAAGATGAAAAATAATAATCAAATTGCAATAACTTCAATATATAAACCACCACCAGTAAATGAGGAAGAATTCCTTGGACATCTTGAAATTTACCTAAAACAAACAAATAAATTAAAAATCACTGAGCATATTTTAATTGGCGATATTAATATTAATTTAAAAATTATTAGTGACACTGTTTCCAATTATTTAAATATAATGGAGGAATACGGTTTTTGTTCTTTAATAAATAAAAACACAAGAGTTTGCGGTATTTCAAAAAGTTGCATCGATCACATATTTTATAGTAACAAAAATAAAGATACTAAAAGTTGCATAGCATCGGTATGTGACACATTTATATCTGACCATAGGGCGATTTTTGCATTTATCCCATTGTCTCCAGAATTAAAATCCCAAAACGAACACATTCTAAAACACATAAATTACAGCAAACTTAGACAAGAGTTGCAGAAACATGACTGGACACAATACAAAAATATCGGCTATGTAGATCTAAAAGCAACGTATATAATAAAAACCTTAAGTTTATACATTGAAACAAACACACATATATCAAAGTTAGCACGTGCGTGCATTAAAAGAAAACAATGGATTACCAAAGGTCTAATAAACTCTATTCAAAAAAGAAATAAACTTTATAAAGAATATAATAAAGATCGTGAAAATAATTTTAAAAAACGTGAGTATTTAAATTACCGCACAATCGTCGACAAAACTATTAAGGCAGCAAAACTAAATTTCTACACAAAACAAATAACAGAAAATAAAAATAGCTCCAAGCACTTGTGGACTTTGATAAAAGGTTGTGGTAATAATAGCCAAAATAAAGAAAAAATAGAGGAGATACTTACGGAAGATGGAACCCTAGTTAATGATCCCTTATATGTAGCACAAGAATTCAATAACTACTTTTCTAGTATTGGGGAAAAATTAGCTGGTAAAATAATTAGGCCAAATAATCCTCTCTTTAGAAAAAACCAACTACAGGTAAATTCATCATTTTTTTTGACACCTGTAACAGAACCTGAAATAATAAACATTATAAAAGCATTAAAAAACAAAAAAGCACCAGGTATTGATAACATTAAGTCTGAGGTTATTAAAGAAACTGCTGAAATCATTGCACCTTATTTATCAGATTTGATAAACTCCATTTTTGAGACAGGACAGTGCCCAGCAGAATTTAAAAAGGCCATCATTACTCCAATACACAAAAAGGGAGATAAGAAATGTTTATCAAATTACAGGCCAATCTCATTGATTTCAACAATTGCGAAGATTTTCGAAAAATCTCTGAAAACCAGATTAACGACATATCTAAATAAATACAATATCTTATCAAAATCTCAGTTTGGTTTTCGAGAGGGTCTTTCAACAAGTGATGCTATAATTACATTGGTGAACCAAATCTATGATTCAATAGATACAGCAAAGCCTTCTATATGCGTATTCCTAGATCTCGCCAAGGCCTTTGACACTGTATCTCACAATCAGCTGTTGGAGACCTTGGAGGATATAGGAATTCGCGGAGTCCCTTTAAATCTGTTCAAAAGTTACTTAAACGACAGAGAACAAGCTGTTCGAATAGGAACTTGTACCAGTAAAAATAATAAAATTAAATTTGGAGTGCCTCAGGGTACAGTCTTAGGACCAACGCTATTCTCTATTTATATTAATAACCTGTTTTCCTTGACAACTAAAGGAAATATCATTGGCTTTGCTGATGATACGGCGATATTCTACCAAGGTAATACATGGCAAGAGCTAAAGGGAAGAATAGAGGAAGATTTTAATAATATTTCTGACTGGTTCGACTGTAAACAGCTAACGATTAATTATGAAAAAACTTTTTTTATTCCATTCTGTAGCTATAAAAATACGTTACCCCCAATTTTCCGAGCTGCAAATCAATAAGACAGGAACCAAAATAATAAAATTAAAAAATAACATTAAATACCTAGGCGTAACTATAGATTCCCACCTTAAATGGGACATACATATAAATAACATCACAAATAATTTAAGACCCTTATTATATAAGTTAAAATACATGAAAACTATTCTAAAACCGGCATATCTTAAAATAATGTATCATTCACTTGTTGAATCCAGAATCAACTATGCTATCTTATCATGGGGTTCTGCTTCAAAAACTCATCTGAAAAAATTAAAAGTAATACAAAAGAAATTCTTAAAAATAATTTATAATAAAAATAATACTTACCCATCTAATTCTCTATTTAAAGAAACATCACTATTGGATGTTAGACAAGCATACTTTTTCAATGTCGTTATATATATTTATAAAAATAAATCCATAATTCAAACAATTAAACATAATTATAATACCCGATATAGACTTGAAGAGAATACCCAAATTGCTCTAAGAAACAAGACCATAGGACAGAGATCATTAAATTTTTTAAGTACCGTAATCTACAATTTTTTGCCGAACGTGTATAAAATATATTTAATATCAATCAATTCAATAGATCTTCTAAAATCATTTATTAAATCATTTATTTTAAATGTTGAAAGGTCCATTATTCATTCTCTAATTGAAAGAGACATAAATTAATTAGAACTAAAAAGTACAATAATATCTAAAAAAAAAAAAAAAAAAAAAAAAATAAAAAAAAAAAAAATAAAAAAAAAAAAAAAAAAAAAAAAAAAAATTGAATTTTAATAATGGAATTAAACAAGAAAACTCGCGCGCAACCTGTGTAGGTCATAAGCGAGTCGTACGGTGGTCCATGTTTATTCGATAAAAATTTGTTAATTAAATTATATATATTTATTTATTTGTATCTGATTGTATTATCATTATCTTGTTCTTGTAAAACACTATTTCTTTTTGAATAAACATTATTATTATTATATTATTAACTGCTTAATGTGTAATTCTGTGTTCGACGGCCCATGATTTCAGCCCTAACTTAAAATTAGATTGTAATGAATTACTTTCCAGATTTGAATGTATAGCTTCATCTAAATGAATGGCCCTATCACTCACGAATTCTTCTCTTATTTCATAATTTACATATTTAACACACTCATCGACTATTTTAAAGGCACAATCACTAGTGGACAAATCGTCAGTTTTAGGATATTCTACAACTAAAGGTTCTTATTCATTTGAATGATAAGAAGATTGTTCGGATTCACTGTTTTCATCACATTCCTGCATAAGCATCATATTTGTTTCAGTTTGGCAATTCAGTTTTCTATAAAAATTTGATGAACGCTTTCTTTTAGGCATGGTCTTGAAATTATTATTACAATACCGCCTACCCAGGTTCATCAACAGAACAAAACAATAACCACCAACTTCAAAAACCACAAATCACTTTATTTGCATCAACAATGTCGAAACAAAAATATTGTTAGAATAAATAATTTATAATTTAATATATTAAAATGAATATTATTTATATAAACACTAATTAAAAAATAACAATAAATAAAATAATTTAAATATTATTTTGAATAACTAATTCATTATTTATAATTTGATATATTTAAATGAATATTATTTATTTAAACACTAATTAAAAAATAACAATAAATAAAATAATCTAAATTTATGTACTATATTAAAGTTCTCAGAATATTCTTAGAACATTCTCTTCTAGACGAGGATATTATTAGAACATTCTTAAAATATTCCTATAGAATATTCCCAAAACAGAATATTGTCACCTTATCAGAATATTCTTAGAATATTATGTGCTGTCTGGGTATGTATTAAAAATATGTGTGCTTACTGGGAAGCTGGAGCAGAAACAGCAATGCAACAGTAGCAGCAACAACAACAAACAGACACCGAGATGATTTCATTAGTATTCTTTTTCGCCAAATTGGAGACTGAATATTAAAAATTGACGTCATATCTGGTTGAATATATTTTTATATGAGAACTCTACATTTATATTATACCCATTATTATAATTTAATACGTAAATATTATGAAACGAGCCATTGCTGTAGGACGTTTCAAAATAAGAAAAATAACATCTTGATAAACAACACATGACGCTTCAACATCAACTTGATGAAACGCATTGACAAATAAATTCTTTAAGTTCATGAATTTGTTTTAAATCCTACAAAGGCCCGCCACTGTCCATTAGCGTCCTTTCGCAATTTCCTCTCCAGATTAAATAAACTCGAAAATACAACACCGTCGACTTCGAGACGCGTTTCTTTAAATTCGTTCGACACGCACCGTTTATTAACGGGATTTGATTGTCGTCGCCACGGGTTATGCATAAAAATAGGCCCATTTGCCGACAACAACCTTTTTTA